TAGGGCGTCTGTCTCGAGAAGGCTGGAAATAGCGTTTGCAGCCCATTGTGTGCAGTGCAGTCCTGGGCTCTCCTCGGCATTCAAGCAGAGCTCATCTTCGTGTGTTCACCTCATTAAAAGAGGATTTCCATAAGCTTTGAATAGCTCTTTGAAGATATTTATAGCTTCAATCAGCTCACCTGTTTATCAGCATTAACTTCGAAACTTCCAGCTATCTTTCAACAAAGCGGGAGATCAGTGGACTGAGAAGCATTTCCCCAGGATTTTTTGTTTTCCATTTTAATAACTCATACCTCGAAGTGTCGGGTTTTACATGAGAATCCGCGTTTACCCTGAGGATCTGTCCCGGTGCCGTCATGACAATACTTGTCGTCTGTGAGGAGTGAGGGCAGCCCAGCCCCGCGGGGAGCAGTGTCACGGAGCTCCCCCTAGCGCTCCGAGCTCCTCCTGCCGGCCGAGTGCCCTCTGTGCCGCCGAAGCTGCGGCGCTTCCAGTGCGTTTTAGAAATAGTTTGATTTTAAGTTAGTGCTTTTGTGATCTCTACATTTCCGGTGAAATATGTCCACCACCAAACACACCTTCTTAAGTAAAAATAAGGACTAAAGGTATTGCCCTGAACGGTTTGGCTCAGTGGATAGAGCGTCGGCCTGCGGACTGAAGGGTCCCAGGTTCGATTCCGGCCAAGGGCATGTACCTTGGTTGTGGGCACATCCCCAGTAGGGGGTGTGCAGGAGGCAGCTGATCGATGTTTCTCTCTCATCAATGTTTCTAACTCTCTATCCCTCTCCCTTCCTCTCTGTAAAAAAAAAAAATCAATAAAAAATATTTTTAAAAATTTAAATGATGAAGCCTCAACCATTAAAAAAAAAAGACTAAAGTTATCAATTTTATTATATGACAGTCCCTCCCAGACTAAAGTTTTGCTTCATGCTCGGCCCTTTTGATGAACTCAGTGGTGAAGTTCCCACGACATAAGGCGCGTGTATTCTTCTGCATCAGGGTTTCGGGGTCTGTGGGTATAAGCCCAGACGTGGGGCCGCTGGGTCAAATGGCAGCTCCATTTTTAATTTTCTGAGAAACCTCCACACTGCTTCCCACAGTGGCCGCACAGTCTGCACTCCCACCAGCAGTGCACGAGGGCTCCCTTCATTCCACATCCTCGCCAGCTCTTGGTATTCGTTGATGTGTCTCTGGTAGCCGTTCTGACAGGTGTGAGGTGATGTCTCCTTGTTTTAATTTGCATCTCTCTGATGATTAGTGACCTTGAGCATCTTTTCATGTATCTACTGGCCAGCTGTATGTCCTTTTTATTTTTTAAATATATTTATATTGATTTCAGAGAGGAAGGGAGAGGGAGAGATAGAAGCATCAATGATGAGAAAGAATCATTGATCAGCTACCTACTGCACAATCCTCACTGGGGATCAAGCCCGCAACCGGGCATGTGCCCTGACCGGAATTGAATTGTGACCTCCTAGTTCATAGGTTGATGCTCAACCACTGAGCCACACTGGCCAGGCTGTGTGTCCTCTTTAGAGAAGTATCTAGTCAGAATTTTAATTTTTATATAGCTTATATTTATATAAACTTAAGCATTTTTCATTTATTCTATAATTTATCTACATTGTGATTATTCTCATTGACTTCCAGAAATAAGTTCAAAATGAGAGAGTGAAAATCCCTCTCTTTCATAGGTTAGGCAATGGCAGCTCATTGAGCTATTGCTTTTTAAAAAATAGATGGTCATTATGAATGATGATGCATCACTCTTATTGTATCTGTGAATTGAATATTAAGGCCCACCAAAGGTTAATTCTTAAAAAATAAAACACAAGCAAACATTCCAAAAACCCCCACAAACCCATGAAGACCCCCAACTTCATTCTTTAAAAGATGAACAAAAACCTTTTGCAGATCTTAGGAGAGGTTAGTGGAGCGCTAGGGAATGTCTACGATTGAGAGCGGTACTTTGGTATAATGTCCATTTTACCGACTGTGTGAAGACTCCATCGACTGACCCCAGCAGCCCGAGCTGCTGAAGCCGGCGCACGGGCGAGCCCGAGTTTGGGACACCGGCACGCTGCGTCCTGAGAGAGGACTGTGCAGCTGTTCCTGTATATTCGCTCAGCCCCGTGCCCTGGGGGTGTCGCCGTGACCACGAGGGTCTGTCTCCTGCCTCGTGGCGCCTGTATTCCCAGACTGTAAACCTTTGTATCTGTAGACCAGGAAGAATTTGCTGCTCCCAGAGCTGTGTGTGTGTGTGTGTGTGTGTGTGTGTGTGTGTGTGTGTGAGTGTGTGTGAGTGAGTGTGTGTGAGTGTGTGTGTGTGAGTGTGAGTGTGTGTGTGTGAGTGGAGTGTGTGTGCGAGTGAGTGTGAGTGTGTGTGTGTGTGTGTGTGTGTGTGTGTGTGAGTGTGTGTGTGAGAGTGTGTGTGTGTGTGTGTGTGTGTGTGTGAGAGAGTGTGTGTGTGTGTGTGAGTGTGTGTGTGTGAGTATGTGTGTGTGTGTGAGTGTGTGTGTGTGTGTGTGTGTGTGAGTGTGTGTGTGTGTGTGTGTGTGTGTGAGTGTGTCTGTCTAATTGGGGCGGCCCAATATACCCGAACGTGTGGATGAGGATGAGGTATGACACACTGGTGTAATTTACTCAAAGGCCAGTTTGTAGAACCCACACCTACTGCCCATCCCGGGCAGCGGTGGTGTAATTGCAGGTCTCCGTCTGTGAAAGGAGTAAAGCTTGCTTCCTCCCTCCCCGCACGTGCGGGAGGACGGCGGATCAGTGCCTGTGGCCCGTCATCTCTGTTTTACACGGGATGCGTTCTAGGCTAGCACTGCCTCTCCCGGGGCCTGTCCACTGCCCTGTTTCGGCCTCGCCCACAGGCTCCGTGACGAGCGTCCTGGGTGTCGCTCTCAGGTCCGACTTGTCACACAGAGTAAGTGACCATCGCCATGCCACTCCGACAAGACCTTCCTTCTCAAGGCCGTTGGGCAGGCCCTGCGAGAGCCTCCCCCGTGTTGTTCTTTTATTTTACTTTAAAAATATACGTTTATTGATTTCAGAGAGGAAGGGAGAGGGAGAGAGAACCATCGACCACTGCCTCCTGCACGCCCCACACTGGAGATCGAGCCCGCATCCCGGGCCTGTGCCCTGACGGGAATTGAACCCTGACCTCCTGGTTCATAGGTTGACGCTCAACCCCTGAGCCACGCCGGCCGGGCTGTGTTGTTCTCTTTTAAACCCTCACAGCATCCTGCCGAGGAGAGAACAGGCATCTGGGGTCCCCTGGTGGCGAAGGGGACAGGGCCGAGCGGGGCAGGACCGGGGGGCACATCCGGCTCTGAGATGTCTTTTGAGGAAGTTGCACACCCTCATCCGCAGTGTCTGCACCTTCTGCCATTGAAGCCGGAGCCGTGGGCGTCTGCTCGGGGCTGGAAGGGCTGTGACTCCCCGCACCCACCTTCTCTGCACCCACAGGTGCCCGTTTCTGGGGTGAACGAGCACCGATTCACCCGCTGGCTTTGAACGTGGCTATTTATTTAGAACTAATCCTTAAATTATGCTTCACGCTACAGTTTCGTCTTGGCACGGGGCACTGCCTCCTTCACCAAGCTCACCTTCCTCCACATTCAGATGTCACAGTGCTGCATCTTCCCGTGTCCTGTCAGTTATCGTGGTGCCTCTGTAGCTTTGACGTGCTTCTATCTGCCATGTTTCTGACACATAAATGACCTTGAGGATATATTGTATGTGGTTATTATATTGCCAACAACACTGATATTCATCAACTTAAATACCTTGCACATTAAGGCAGTAAAGTTACAAAATGGTGTCAGAAAATGATAGTTTCTTATCAATGACTTCCGGTGTGAAAAGGTAGATAGACGTATGTGTATATGTATGGAAACTGGAAGCCAAATATTAATCTCTGGAGACTAAGGATTATAAAGTATATTGCCAATAAATGATAAAAATATGAAACTTGACATCTTTATTGTGCTTTTCATTTTACAAGTATTTTCACCCATAATATTAGTAAAGATGGCTGAACAAATGACAATTCAGTGTCTTTTTTGTAAATTAGTAAAACAAGTGGAGCTTCATAAGACTTTAGGATCTTTTCTCATGTTTATACTGTTTTCAATAAATCATATGCATTTCAGAGTCTACAGGTTTTAACTCCTAATGATCAAAAAATACTTACTGTATATTATTTCTAGATGATAAACAAAATTTTATGCATGGCCTTAGGTAACTCCTACCCGGCAAGAAGGAAGTTAAGGATTAAAAGAAGAATTTAGTAACGTTAGAGACTTAGAAATCTGGAAAGGTGGTTCTTTTACTGGTCAGTGCTTCTGCATAAAGTTCGCTCTTTGCAAACGTGGACGTGTGAACCCCGCTAGCAAGGTTTCATCATTGCCAGAGGCGCGTGGGGACTGATCTGTTTGCCCGGCTTTGACTCTTGACGCGTGTTCCTAGGGCGGCATGTGTCCTGGTGGAGAACCCACTGAAGTGCAAAGCCCCATCCAGGCCTGTGTGCGGTCCGCCCTCGAGGCTCTGTCTCCCCCGGGTGTGACCGTGTGTTGAAACCCAGCAAACTGGGAAGGTACTTGCATCATGAGAGATTGCTGGTCCATCCTGTGGATCGATAGGAAGAGGAAAGGTCTGGAGCCTTCGATCTGTGTTCAGAGCGTGGAGTTGACCTCAGGAGCATGGTCTCTGCGTCCCCACAGCCCCCACACTCCCATCCCTCGTAAGCCTCGGCCCTGCATGTCCCCGAGTCCCGGCAGCAGGTCGCCCATGTGGCTCAGTCACGGGGCTGTGGGCCAGAAGAAACGGCTCTCGCTATTTTGACCATAAAACTAGATTTCCCGAATTACATTGTTGTAGCCTCGTTGGAACATTCATCCCGTGACTGTCTCACGTGCTCCGAGGAGTCGGCCCTAACGCTGCGCGGTTTGGTTCTGCGTCGATCACTGATGGCCACGCCTCTGCTTCTTTCCCAGCAGGTCGACCGGCCTACAACAGCTTCTACGTCTACTGCAAGGGCCCCTGCCAGCGGGTGCAGCCCGGGAAGCTCCGGGTGCGGTGCGGCACCTGCCAGCAAGCCACGCTCACCTTGGCCCAGGTAAGGACGGGCTGGCAGCGGCCGCCTGGCAAAGGGAACACACGGTTCAGAGTTGCTGCTGGAGTCACCGTGTCTCTCACCGACAGCTTCCGTGTGGTCGTCACGTTAGTGGTGTCTGACGTTTCAGTCAGAGCTGCAGGACTCTGTCGGTTCAGGGAGCCGTGCCGGGGCCCGTGTCTTCATTGAGACCTGCTGAAAGGAGAGGGACGGCCTCCCCCAGAGGGAGGGGAGACTGTGGGTGCCCTCTTCACCTTCCTACGGTGCTGGGAAGGGTGCGTGTCCTGGATCTGTGTGGGTAGCAGGTTTGTGTATAGATGTCAACATCCAAGGGCGGCGCCTGAAGATCGTGCGCTGAAGGACGCTAAGTGTGAGGGGCAGGTGTGAAGGGAAGCTGTGGCCGGGGGAACAGCGACCCGGTGCCTTTGGAACAGGGGCCCGCAGCCCAGCGTCTGCTGTGGCCTCGCTGGCTTCTGCACCGTCCACAGGCTGAGGACGTGTGTGACGTTTTTACGTGGTGGGGAAACACCAGAAGAAGAGTACCGTGTGAGCCGTGCCCATTAGGTGAAGCTTGCACTCGGCATCCACGGTGAAGTCCTATTGGGACGCAGCCACACCCCTTCTGCGCAGGCGGCCTCCTCCCGGGCTCCGGGCCTGGGCGGCTGAGCCCTCCGCAGACGGACTGGGACTCGGTGGCCCGAGAGCCCTGACACTTCCTCTCTGGCCCCCTAGAGAAAAGGCTTTCGGAGCCGATGGAAACCTTGCACACAGCTAGTTGGTGGCGTGAGCATCAGGCTGTGCAGGACTCACTGGGCTGAATGTGAGGTGGATGCGAATGTGTGAGGGTGGGGAGGCCGGGCAGCACGTGGAGAGGGTACAGCCGAGGAGGCAGGAAAGGATGGAGCTGGGGCGACCAGGGGCCGACGTGTACACAGGTCCCCATTACCACATCGGGCCCAGTGGTGGCGAGAGAGTTTAGCTTGTGTCCTGCAGGCCGCGGAGAGCTGGACAGTGTGCTGCAGACACAGGGCTGCGTGAGATGATGTTAGAACCACTTAGTGCCAAAACCGTCCGCCATCTGGATTGAGGTTGGTGGCAGATTGAAGGCAGAGAGGTTATTAATAAACCTTCACGGGGTGCTGAGGGCCTAGATCGGGGTTGTGCCCAAGGAATAGAATAATGGGGTGCAGGGAGGCCCCCAAGGTGCTGGAGGAGGGCAGCAGGGACCTCGCCTCACGCTGGGGAAAACGGAGCGATTACGAACAGTGAGTTCAGTGTTTCAGTCCAATACGTGTCAGCCTCACAGGCAGGCCAGGTGCGAAGACCAGCCTGTGAGTGACCCAGGTTCGCCCTGACCCCAGAGGGGACCGTCCTCGGGCTGTCCCTGGAGAGAGCTTCTGTCCTAAAGCCCCACAGTGTTCTCCACCAGACGCCCCTCGCCTTTCCAGCGCAGCCAACAGCCCTACTGGTCTGTCCGGCCCCGCCCCGCCCTGCCCCTGCACAGGGGCTGTGACTGTTACTCACCTCCTACTGTTCCCAGTAGAAAGAGCAGTAACCAATCATTACGGAGCTCCAAGCCTAATCCTGTCCGTGGGTTATCTCCGTTAATTATGTGGAAACACTCTGAGGTAAGCACTGTTAGCAAATCCATTTTAGATTGGGGAGGAAAGGAGGCTTAACGAGATTAGGCAAACAAGCCGGCTAAGCGGCAGCCCGGGATTTGAGCCGGCGGTGTGACCTCGCCTTGGAGGTTAAAGTTCCCCTCACCACACAGGTGGGTCTGTTACACGAGGGTCCCCTGCCGATGCCCCTGTGACCACAGGTGGGTGAAGGCTAAGTCAGGTGGGGCAGCCGGGCAGGGACACCAGGCCCATAAAGGAGTCAGCTGCCCGGGTGTCAGCAAGTGTGTGTGTGTGGTGGGGGGGCAGGGGGGGTGTCAGTGTGGCCAATCTTTAATTAACAGGGAGAAACCATAAACATGCACCTTTTCCTTGAAAAATACGCTCCATGGGGGAAATAGAAGCAAACAAAAAGGAAAAGCACCCCCAGCATCTGCCTGAATGCCCCAAACCTGAGTGTAGGGGTCACGTGATGCACGCCTGTGGGTTGGGCCGGGGCAGCTCTCCATCACGTGAGTCTCCGTGGGAGGCGGTGCAGGGCGAGCTCCTCCAGGGGCTCTGGAGCCGGAGGCCTGGGTTAGAGGCTCCTTCGTCACGCCGCCCCCCCCCCCCCCCCCCCGTCAGCTCAGGAACTCTGGGGCGCGGGCCTGGGGCGCGGGCCTGAGGGAGCAGGGTAGGGTTCTTGTTGTGACAATGAGTGGATATAGGAAGAGTACTGAGAACGCCAGGCGTTGGCTAATTCCTTTTAGAGAAGCGAAAGCACCCGCCCCCAGCCTTGTATTTTTCTCTCGTTCTTATGACAGACGCGTTGGCCCCAGGAGGGAGCGGTCCTGTGCGTGTCTCCCTGGAGCCCGCCTTCCCTAGCAAAGACCGGCCCTCGCAGATCTGCTGGTCAGTGTCCCGTGATCCCACCAAAGCCCGTGGACTTAGCGATCGTTCAAAAGTCCTCCTGGAGAGAATATGCTGAAGGATTTTTAAAGTGTCCGTCTTCAAAGACTCCTTAAGGACGGCTTAGCCCAGGTGCGCAGTTGTCTGGGCGCGGCACAGCTGGCCCTCAGCCAGGGCGCAGGCCCGGCGCTCCAACCTCCGTTAGTGACCACAAGTACACACTCCAAGGGGCCGCCAGCCAGGCTGAGGGTCTGCAGGCAGGTCCTGCCTGGCGACGATGGGCAGGTGCTGAGCCGGCCCCGAGGAAGGGGTCCTGTGTGGACAAGAGACAGTGCTCCGTCTCCTATTCCAGGGATTTATAAAGATCTGCAACCACACGGTTTTCTCTGGTCAAGAAAATGGAGAAAGAGGAAGGATCGGGTGTGGCTGGCTGGTGTGATGGCAGGTTGTGGTTTATCTGGGCTTCTTTCCGTTTGTTTCTGAAATGTGTCACATTGTTGATGTGCGAATATTGTACCAGCCTCACATCCCTGGAATAAATCCCACTTGATCATGGTGTAGGATCTTTTTAACATACTGCTGGATGCCATTTGCTAATATTTTGTTGAGGATTTTAGCATCTGTGTTCATTAGGGATATTGGTCTGTAGTTCTCTTTCTTTGTGTGTCTTTATCTGGTTTTGGGAATAGGGTGATGCTGGCTTCATAGAAAGAGCTTGGAAGTGTTCCTTCCTCTTGGATGTTCTGGAATAGTCTGAGGAGTGTAGGTGTCAGTTCTCCTTTGAATGTTTGGTAAAACTCCCCTGTGAAGGCGTCTGGACCCAGGCTTTTGTCTGCTGGGAGTTTTCTGATTACTGCTTCTATTTCATCAGTTGTATTGGCCTATTCAGGTTTTCTGATTCCTCCTGATTCATTTTTGGAGATTGTGTGTTTCTAGGCATTTGTCCATTTCATCCACATTGTCCAGCTTGTTGGCCTGTAGTTGTGTATATCTGGACTTCTATAGGGGCTTTTCATACACAAGGAGAAACACTTGAACCTATTTAGCCACCTGTGCTATTTTTAAAAACCTAATCTTATGTTTTCTGCTGGAGAAATAAGTTGGCAACAAGCCCCAGGCCTCTCCTGAGTCCTAACAGTGGCCCCCTCATTTTGTGGGGTGGTTGTGAACTTACCCATAATTCCAGCATTTCCTCACCACTCCTCACTATTTGAATACAATAGCATTGAGCTGCCTCTCACACATGATGCGTGAGGTGGACATGTCTGCATGCTCTTCTTACTAGAACATTGTCCAGGAAGATGAGTAACCATTTCCGTCGTGGCGTGAGGGGTGGCGAACCTGATGTCTGAAGTTTGGTCTGCCCTTGAGGACACCTTGATCAGCTTGGTTTTCTTCTTTGTCCAAATCAAATTATCTTTTTTATTTCATGCTCACCTTGACCAGGGTTTCCATTAATCAAAAGAGCCTTTAGAAAAATGAACACTCACTCGAAAATAGCGAACAACAGCTGATTGGAAAACCGTGGCCGGCGTCCAATTCCCTCGCCCGTCCAAAGTTGCCCACTCGGGTCCGCACAGAAATGACCCGGCCTGAACACGAAGGGGGCGCGTTGCCCGTGCACACGCGTGTCTGGTCGTGCTCGGGAACGGTAAAGTGGACGACAGAAAACATCTGCCGCCGCTGCTTTCCTCGCCAGTGTGGAAAAGCAAGAATCGACTGGTCATATCCTCAGAGCCCTTTTATTTTTCATAACCCAGTAAAGTGGGCAGAAAAAGCAAGGTTTTCCAAGATCTGTAGACCATACGCTGCTTTTAGAAAATAATGAGAATTAAAGAAGGAATTCACATGGAAAACAGAAACAGTACCCTGAGATTTACAGATGCTTGTCCTTCGCCCTTCCCCTGGCATCTGCCAGCCCCGAGAGCAGACTGTAGTCAGTGGGTCCCTTCTGCTGTCTGTCCTGTCCTGGGGGAGGAGCGAGTCCTGGTGAGGACGCAGGATGGACAGTCAGGTGAGGCTTTCAGCTCCGCTCTCCGACGCCCCGGCCCTGAGCCGTGCCAGCAGGAGACACGGGGACAGTGGTGACACAGTGTCCTGGCTGGTGGCGTTCCCCGAGAAGCTCAGGCTGATGGGGGAGAGCCTGCCCTGGGGACCATTCTAAGGGGGTCCCTCCCCACAGGCGTCCGCCCGCTGAGGCTCACTGCTCACTCCTGCTTCTCAGACCAGGTGCCCTTGAGGCCACTGCTCACCGCCCGGTGGACAGCGCCTCCTGCAGGAAAGAAAGCTTCCGTGATAGGAAGAAGCGGGCTGGCTTTTCTAGCAGGACACGGCTCACAGTAAGCGAGGATCTTCAGGGACGAGTGGCAACTTCGACTGATTGCGACAGTGACGGAGACAGGATGCACGTAGAAGTGAGACGGAAGGACGCTCTGCACGCGGCATCCTGTTGGGATCCTGGGCTCAGAACCGCCTGGGACCAGAGACCTGGAGAGA